GAAAGAAAGGATAGCCTTAACATACCTTAGCTGATTTTCTTGAAAATTCCTCTAATACACGCCAATCACGACAAAACACGTAACGGCGAATCGAAGTAGGGAAAACCCCGTATGATATTCTTGAGAAAGATTGCACCGTACTCCCTTATAATTGCAAAATCTCACGTTGCTTTAGATGCTCTGAAATCTCACGTTTTGAATTGTTGAAGATGCTATGAAATCTCGCGTTTTGAATGAAAGATTGAAGCAACTCACGCTGCTAATGAAACTTTCTTTGAAGCCTTTCCCTTTAACTTAGATGTAATACATCTTCATTTGTGAACTAGAGAAGGAATTTAAGTTTTTGGTGGTGTGGGCCCCACCTTTCAAGACTTGATGTCACATAATTCTCTTAAATGTGCCACCTTTCAACCTATTTTAAGAGTCACTAAATGGGACGGGGGGGGGGGGAATTAAGTCTTATCCAACAATTCCTTAATTAAATAGGTAATCTCCTATTATCCAATAATTAACCAATTACCCACATAATTAAAAATTATCTCAAATTACTTAAAATACTACTCACTTTTAATACACCTTATGCACCCACTATTATGGTCATGTGGTACCTTGTATGGCACTAGTCCATAAATATGGGGTATTATAGCTTGGACCGTATTTTATCCTAAATTGTCAAACTTCGACGAAACTCATTTTCTTCGATTCGCGTACCCTCTCACCTTTACGACTTTACTTATCACTTGTTACTAATATTATAAGCATTTATAACCTCAAAAATAGTCTTTTCCTCATCCTAAAGTACTACTATTAAAATATTAAATTATTAATAAATCATGGTACCATATAAAATCAATACATACACTATTATTTCATTAAAACATCCATGTAAAAATACTTATATTTTCTCAACTTCTAATTTTCTTAATTTCATATAAAGAGTACAAATTTTCGTACACTTAATTCTTAAAATGGTAAAAATATAACCTTCTTTTCTCGTGAAAAAATAATTTCTATCTTTACAATAAAGAAAATCTCATAAACTTTCTCATATTATGTGTATAATTTAAATCATATTCAAAAGTAGTAATATTAACAACTATATAAATCATATTTTTCGAACTCTTTTATAAAAACGTTCCACTCAAAATACCATATCAAATGTATATAACGACATCAAGGTTGTTAAACTTACGGGGTCTTACAATAACATAGTCACAAATCCTCTATAATCTCATAAATGTCTTAATCCCTTCAAGCTCATATGGGTTACTACGACTCATCCTAATATTAAAGTACCGGATGTAACATTGATGGCCCTGACATGCGCTTTCAAAAAAGCATCTGCAAGCATAGCAAACGAATCAATAGAATTTGGTTAAGTTGTGATACCATATCATTGCTCCTTTTGATAGGGTTTCTCCGAACTTCTTTAGCAAAACCGACTCGATTTCGTCCTCTTCCAAGTTGTTCCTTTTGATGGCACACGTGTAGGAGGTCACGTGCTCATTTAGATCCGTGGTTCCGTTATATTTCGGAATATAGGGCATACGAAACTTCTTCGGGATTGGCTTCGGTTCTGCGCTCGGAGGAAAAGGCTTTTGGACAATTTTTTTGGAGTCCAGGCCTTTCAATATCGGGGGCGCTCCTGGGATTTGATCGACCCTAAAGTTATAGGGCTCCACTTTTTTGTTGTTGGCCTCAATTTTCTTTTCCGCTGATTCCACCGCTTTGTCAGTTCCTCGAGCATTTTTATAGTTTCGGGGTTGGTCCCGGGCTCAGCTTCATCTGCCCTTTCTGTGACCTGCTCATTTCTTCGAGTGTTTTCCCAAGACGGTTCGGGCTAAACTCTTCTAGGGGCGCGACTTTGATTTTGCAATTGTGCTATCGCCGCCTGTTGTGCCTGTAACATTTCAAAGATCGCCCGCAGATTGATCTCGTCACCTTCACCTTCGGGCGTACCTCGAGACGTTGGTCGGGCTCCTCCACGAACGATGTTCTCAGGGTCGGTCGGCAGGTTGGCGTCGATGGCCACATGCGAGTTGGTATCGACTGGGTCTGCAACTGGGACTCTGCTAGGATCAGCAGGGGCACCTCGTTGCTAGCTACCATATTGTTGTTTTCGCCATGATGTCTAGACTCAACATCAATGTTCAAGTGAGCAGACTGAGAGTTTGACATTTTTAGGTTGACCTGAATTAAAATCTCAAAGAATAAGCGTAATAGAGTGTGTTATAGAAATTTGTATCAAACCACCACTATTATCCTTAGCCTCACGGTTGGCGCCAAACTGTTTACCCTTAAAATTTGATAACGATTGAATTTATACACAATTTTAAGGATATGTGGATTAATTTAATACAAGCGATCAATAATGTTAGATAAGCGAATTAAAGGTAAAATAAATAACCAAACCAATTGTGGTGTTGACTCCAGGCTTGGATATAAATTAACAGTCGTTCTGCCTTGGATTCGGAGCCAAATTATATGTGAAGAACTAAGCAAAAATAAGAACTTTGAAATAACTTAGTAGCAACGAAAACAAGTTTATATTGCGTGATATGTGTGTTACAGTGTGTCTTTTGAATAAAAATCACCCATTTATATAGTAAGAGAGTTTCATCCCTAGTGCAACTTTAAGAAAGGTAAAAATATTCTTTTTAGCTAATCACTGATCTGATGCCGATACGGGCCGAGATCTACGTCGTGATATCCGGTTGGGAACGGATATCAAGGCCCTTTACTATTCGTGCGCAGTCGTTTGGAAATTCTTTCCGAGGTCTTGGAGCTCGAACTGGATCCGGGGATGAGGTCTCGATGGCTCCGGTGGTAGGCACTTTGTTCGGGCCTTAGTATGAGAGGTTCCTGGCTTCGATTCCGATTTCTTGTAGTTATGTTCTTGCTTCGTTTGTCTCACCGGGAAATCGGGATGCTCGTTTGCTTCGGTTTTACTCATATACAATAAATTATGAAATTTACACGTTTTCAAATATCAACATACAAAATATTGAAGTGAAATTACCAAGAGCGTTTGTAACACTCTACCATGGAGTTAAATCCGTTCCCCAGCCCATTGAGAAATTGAATTGACTAATACTAAAAGTTCCAGAAACTCATAAATGCTACTATTCTCGCACAATTTGGTGCTAGACCTTCTTTGTACAACTTTTTAGAATGTGCTTTGCGGGATATAATTTTATGTCTATGTATCATTTGTTCTATAGTTGGATTGTCGTTTTCCCTAGTATTAGCATGTGGTGAATTACTTAATGAATATTTTACCTAGACGCATACGTAGATTCAAATAAAAAAAGAAAAAATATCACCTAAAAGAGTAAAAGTATTAAAAATTTATAATAACAATTCGAGTGGCTCTTTCACGGATGCTTCGATGTATAAGGTTCTTACCAATTTGGATAAGCTTCTGTCTATTTGGAAGTTAATTTGGGACTGGTGTGGTGCCTGAAAAAAATTGAGTTTTACTTTGATTATGTGACAAAGGTAAAATTCGTACAAATTCAGAAAGATATTGCCATCATCTTACTCTGGCGGGTACTTGCACGGTTTGTGAGGTAGAGGATGAATCTTTGTTGCATGTTTTGCGAGATTGTATTCATGCTCGGGCAGTTTGGGATCATATTCTTGCTGCAGAAGACAAGTCTCTCTTTTTTGCTCTTGATCTCCATTGTTGGCTTATAGCTAATTTAATATCTGAATGATCCTAGGGAGGGAGTTATGGATGAAAATTGAAGAATTTTCTTTGGGTTCACCTGCTAATGAATTTGGCGCAATAATGCTTTATTCCAAAAACCAGTTATAAAAAGGTGTTAGCCCTTGTTAACATGGTTAGATCTTGTGTTAATTCTTGGCATTCGTTGAAGATGATAGGGAATATTTCTAATAATAAGCAGGTAGTCTCGCTAGGTTAGTCACCTCCTAAGGATGGGTGGATGGTCTTTGAATACAGATAGGGCCATTTGAAGGAGTATTATGATGGGACTGCTGATGTTTTTCTAATAGTAGGATTGGTGTATTTTCAGTCAGGCTTGGGTTCTGCACATTATTCAGAGCTGAGCTATGGAGGGTGCTCAATGGTCTTCAAGGAGCCTGGGACAAGGGGTGGTGTCGGGTTGCCTCGCAAATTGATAATTCTAGTGTGGTTCATGTGTTGCGGCATGGATGGTATGTGTCTCATTGGCATGATGATATTGTCAACCGCATCTGTTATCTCTTGGCTAGGAATTGTGTGGTCTTTATTGCTTATACAGGGAGGCTAATTCGGTAGCTGATGGTTTAGCTAATTTGGTTTTCAGTCAAGAGCCTCGTTTTGAATTGCATGCTCTTGTCCTTCATGCATTTCTTCGCGTGTTATAGGAGATGTTATTGGGATTTCACTCCCTCGCTTGATTTCTACTCCCTCCGTTGCTATCTAGATGTTGAAGTTTGACTTGACACAAAGATTTTTTTTAAAGAAAAACTTTGGAAACATGCGGTCCTAAAAGCTTAAGAGGCAAAAGCTTTTTGGGGTCATAATATTTGTGTGGCTATAAAAGCTTCTCATTAAGGGTAAAGTGGATAAAATGAAAAGTTTAAAGTCAAATTATTTCTAAATATAAAAATGTGTCATTTATTTTGTAACAGATTAATTAAGAAAATGTGTTATTTAAATTGGAATGGTGGGAGTAACTAGTTTTGTTTTGTTGCTTTCTTTCCCTTTTGATAAACCTTGAAAAAGTGATATTTTTGCTATTACCAACTTTTTATACTACAAGTGTCTTTTTAACCAAGAAATTCAAGTCAAAAGGAAATAAGTATTAGTAATTTGGTTCGTAAATTTTAGTAGTACAGTGAAAACTCTCTATAACAACATTTCTATATAACAATATTTCATATAAAAGCCAAGTTTTTTCCGGAACCAATTTTCATGTTATGTTATAATATATGTTCTTTATAACAGCACTTCACTATAACATCCAAAAATACTCGGAACAAACGAGGCTGTTATAGAGAGGTTTGACTGCAGTTGTTAATGAAATTCAAATGGGTACAAGTGAAGGGCAAGAACAAGAGTTGATGATGTCAAACGCAATAGTGCCACTGTCCCTTTAGATGAACCAACAAACATTGGTGGAGTGCCTCCAACACTTCCGCCACATTTTGAAAACATGCATAGCCCAGAGAGACCTCTTAACTGGCAAATCTCTGCACACCCTTTACGTAAAATCACTCATTCCATCATCTACGTACCTCTCCAACCATTTCATCCTTCTCTACTCCAAGTGTGGCCTCCTTAGCACTGCTCGCAGGGCTTTCGAAGCCACGCCTGCACCCAATGTCTTCTCATTCAATGCTATCCTCAATGCCTATACTAAAGAGTCTCAGCTCCACCTTGCCCACCAACTGTTTGATAAAATTCCCCAACCAGATATTGTTTCTTACAACACCCTTATCTCCGCTTACGCTGATCTTGGCCACACCCTGCCTGCTTTTCGACTCTTTCTCGACTTGAGGGAGATGGGTCGTGGCATGGATGGGTTTACTCTTTCCGCTGCTATTACTGCTGCTAATGACAATGTTGATTTCATCACTCAGCTTCATTCCTTGTCTATTTCAGCTGGGCTTATCTCTTATGCTTCTGTTAACAACACTCTCATAACGTACTATAGCAAAAATGGACTTCTAGATTATGCTCAAGGGGTGTTCGCATCAATGGGTGAGATAAAAGACGAAGTTTCTTGGAACACGATGATTGTTGCTTATGGGCAGCATAGGGAAGGGACAAAGGCGTTGGCTTTGTATAAAGAAATGGAACATAGGGACTTAAATTTAGACATGTTTACTATGGCCAGTGTGTTGACAGCGCTTACGTCCATGGAAGACTTGCGCGGTGGGCTTCAATTTCATGCTCGGTTAATCAAAATGGGTTTTCACGAAAATCCACACGTTGGAAGTGGTCTGATTGATCTGTACTCAAAATGTAGTGGTGGCATATCAGATTGCAAAAAAGTCTTTCAGGAAATTCCTTATCCAGACTTGGTCCTTTGGAACACAATGATTTCTGGATATTCGCAGTCTGAGTTGTGTGAAGAAGCTGTTGCTTGTTTTAGACAAATGCAGCTTGCCGGCCATCGACCTGATGATTGCAGCTTTGTTTGCGTGATTGGTGCATCTTCCAACTTGTCATCACCGTCTCAAGGGAAACAAATTCACTCTTTGACAGTCAAGTCTAGCATTACGTCCAACCGAATCTCAGTGAGCAATGCTCTCATTGCAATGTATTCGAAATGTGGAAGTCTGCATGATGCAAGACTACTTTTTGATAGAATGCCTGAGCATAATGCTGTCACTTTAAATTCTATGATTGCAGGCTATGCACAACATGGGCATGGAGCGGAGTCGCTGCTACTATTTGAATGGATGCTTGAAAGAAATCTGACACCTACAAATATAACATTCATCTCTGTCCTATCTGCATGTGCACACACTGGAAAAGTCGAGGAAGGGAAGAAGTATTTTGGTTTAATGACTGACAAATTTGGGATAAAACCAGAGGTTGAGCACTATTCATGCATGATTGACCTTTTGGGTCGAGCAGGAAAGCTCGAGGAAGCAGAGAGACTAATCGAAACAATGCCATATAATCCCGGTACAATTGGCTGGGGCTCGTTACTTAGGGCATGTCGAACTCATGGTAATATAGAGTTAGCAACAAAGGCAGCTAACCAGTGTGTTCAGCTGGATCCTTCAAATGCGGCACCGTATATCATGCTTGTACACATGAAAGCTTGTCTTGGCAGATGGGAAGAGGTAGCAGCTATTAGAAAACAAATGCGAGACAAGGGAGTCAGAAAGCAAGTGGGTTGCAGTTGGATTGAGGTGGACAAAAGAGTTCATGTCTTTGTGGCAGAAGATAGTTCTCATCCGATGATAAATGAGGTGTATAAATTCTGGGAAGAGATGTCAAAGAAGATGAAGCAAGCAGGGCATTCTCCAGATTTGAGGTGGTCTCTGATTAGAGATGATGGAACTAGGCAGGAGGAGAAAGAGAGAAGCTTATGGCATCATAGTGAAAAGTTGGCAGTTGCTTTCGGGCTTTTATCGACTAAAGACAGCGAACCTATTCTTATCATAAAGAATTTGAGAATATGTGGTGACTGTCATAATGCAATAAAATTTCTATCTGGTATGACAGGAAGAGTGATTACAGTAAGGGATTGCCACAGGTTTCATTGCTTCAAGGGTGGGGCATGTTCTTGTGGGGATTACTGGTGATAGCTGATAAGTTTTGCAATCAGAATGCTGGTCTGATCCCAGCCAATTCATGTGATTGCCATGGGCTATGGAGAGTGAAGTTGTGAATGCTATACAGTGTACTTAGAGTTAGCACGATGAAGTGCAATTTTTTATTTGTTAGCAACAGAAAGATGGGCCTAATATTTTTGTTTAACCAAGTGAAATTTTAAGGAAAAATGAATGAAGTACTTGAAAGAGTGCACTGCATGTAGCTTTCTGTCGTTTTGGATTGGGTTATCGAGTGTCTTAATCCACTTTAATCTTATATAATTAATGCTGTAAATGATCATAGATCTAGCCGGAGTTACTAATCATTTGCAGCATATGTGCATAATGTGAGTAGGGGTATGAAGATGCCCACCTCTTGTTCATTCACTGCAAGGATAATTACAAGCCAACAATGGAATGTGACGTTAAATCTTAAAGAGGTGAAATGGTGCATGCCTGAAACAACTAAAGAACCCTACAAAAGGCGGGGAAAGACGAAGCAACAAGAAGTATAGAGTTTGCAACAAAATCCCAGCAAGCATATGTTGGGTCATATGGCGGAAAAGAAATCATAAAACTTTTGAAGGGAAAAAGAATGTCTTGATTTAAATTTTAAAAATTTAGATGTATCACTTTATTAACTTTTTTGGAGTAGAATCACAGATGTACAAGAAACTGAACAGTTGTATGACAAACGTACAAGAAATTGAACAATACTTCGACTCTCTGCATGAATGTGCAGAAACGGAACTGAGATACACAGCTCCTATGCTCATAATAGAAGGGGTTTGGTGAATTAGATCATTGTTTATACTTCCGAAATGGAATTGTTACTTTATGTCATATGTCTTGTGTATTTACTGTTGTGTTCTTTGCTTTTCCCGTGTTACTATCGCGGTTTTTGGTTATCAGTTATTTCCATGGCTGACATTTGGGGGTTGTAGTGAACACTCTGGAGAAGCCAGGGGAATTCATGTTACACCCCATGTTTTCGTACATGAGAGTACGTCGTAAGTCATTGATGTAAGCTCAGAAATAAGATCGTCTTTGAAAGTATATAAAGTAAGTTAATCATGTTACCTTGGAGGTTACAAATCTTTGAGATCATGTATAACAAGTACCAAGAGGGTTGAGAGGCTCAGAAGCTAAACAAATTGAAGAAAATAAGTTTTGTTGAATGTCGACAAGCTGGTAATGTTATAACATGTACTTTTGGGGTGATACTAGGGTGCTTAACATGATAAGGAGATTATGTTATGAGTTATTTTAGTCATATGATATTCGTGTATTACATTTTGAAGTCAAGCGAGTTGTGGAACAAAAGTTGGCAAAGGTCATCACAAGTTACATTCGTAAATGTGCTGAAAATTAGGTCAAATATGACTGAGCTTTTCTCCTATCATACTTGGAATTACGAGATTGTCCACCTACCAAATTAAAGATCTATGAGTCTAGTTTCTAACGCATTAAACCGTTTGTTGATAAAACATCCGAGTAAAGAGACATTTACGTTTACATGAGACCGCGCAAGCAGCTCCCAATGGGACCCACTTAGGCGGTGGAAGACCCTTGAACGTTTTAAAGGGGTTGGACGGCTCATTTTCGGTCATTTTCGACCAAGGACGGTTCCCAAACTCTCTCAACACTTCCCTAACGGTTCTCCAAGGTTCCAACAACTGTGAATGAGCTGAGCATATATCTTTTCAGTTATTTACCTTTACTATTCTCATTATATTATTATGAGTTGTTATTGGCTATTGTGTTGGACACTGACCCTCATCCAATCCTGTCGCTGCTTTAAATCTGAGGTAAGGTTTGTTACATATTGTGTACATATGGTCGATTGTACTTATACTACACTTTTATCCCTTGCGTGTAGATCCTGGTGCTGACGTTGATGTGTATGACGGAAGCTGGCATTGAAGACATACCTGCGTTTCGGTTATAGTTATTTTAGATTTGCAAATCTGTTTATGTGTATTTTGAATAGATGATATATTTATTTCATACCAGTTTTGTAAACTCTAAATCTTAGAAGCTCATGACTCGTACTACAAATCCTTTGGATTTTGCACAAAAGTTCAGTTGTTTAATTCATCGACTCACATTATTTTCATTTGAATTGAGTTTATTGATATTTGGCTTACCTAGCGGGTTGGGTTAGGTGCCATTACGACTAGTTGGTTTTTGGGTCGTGACAACGTTCTCCACCTGGAAAATCATAAGTTTGACCGAGAGTTGACTTTGATAATATTGGGTTCGAATTGTTGTTCCGGGAGTCGAAATAAGTTCGTTATGTCATTTGAAACTGGTGTGCAAAATTTGAGGTCATCCTGAGTTGATTTGATATGGTTCGGCACGAGTTTTGGAAGTTGAAAGTTCAAAAATTCATTATGTTCGATTTGAGGTGCGGTTCGTGGTTTTGATGATGTTATGTGTGATTTGAGGCCTCAAGTAGGTCCGTGTTATGTTTTAGGACTTGTTGGTATATTTGGAAGAGGGCTCGGGTGAGTTTCGGACGTGATTCGAATCATTTCAGATGGTGTTTGTATTGTTGATAGCTGGTATTTCAGTTGTTCTTCGCGATTGCGAAGTGATTCTTGGAACTGGGCATATTTTTCTCCTTCGTGTTCCCGACAAGTCTACCGCATTCGCGTAGAGTTAAGGTCTAGTCTAATTCGCGTTCGTGTCCACTTCTACACGTTCGTGTAGTGTTGAACTGAGCTGGGCAGGTCGATGGTTTCCTCTTCGCGTTCGCGATGTTACTCCTGCGTTCGCGTAGGTTTTTCTGCTTTGTGCATCGCGTTCGCGATATTTGTGTCGTGAATGCGTAGAGTTAATTGAGGCAGTGTAATTTTTGTTCATCGCAAACGCGAGGATTGTTCCGCGTTTGCGAAGGACTCATCTGGGCAGTGCTTATAAAGTACTCTATTTCGGAGATTTGGGCGATTTTTTAGGCCATTTTAACCACATGCTCGGTTTAGATTATATTTTGTGATTCCATCGTCGATTTTGGCATTTGATTGATGATTTCAAAAGAGAAATTAGAAATTATTGTCTAAACTTTCCTAAAGTGAATATTTGAGTTTTGAAAATCGATTCGGAGTCGAATTCGAGTGAAGTTAGTATTTTGGGCTCTTATTCGAATGGATTGTCGAAATTTATAAGTTTTGATAGGTTCCGAGGTGAAGGCCCGGGTTTGACTTTGAGTTTATAATTAATGATTCGACCTTTATTGTTTAGGTTGGCTTCCTTTGGCATTATTTGATGTTTTGAGTCGCTTTTGGCTAGTTTCGAGCCGTTCGGAGGTTGATATGTGCGGGATGGCATTTTTTAGAATGTTGTTTGGCTTGCTTGGTATTTGTTTTGGCTTATTTGAGGTTAGTATCCTATCTAAAGTTGGTTGAGGCACTAGTTGTGAGTTATTTGTGACTACATATTATGAGTGCGCATATGTATGGGGTTTGAACCCATGTGCGAGCATCTAGGTATTTATCCATGCTCGGTGTAGTGCTTAGGCTATGATATACCTTGAATTGACTGTTAAGCTTTAAGTTATAATATTTCTCATATTTGTAACATTTTTGTGAATTATTAGAGCCATGTTTGAGGTTACGAAGATACTAATTCCATGAATGAATTTGGTAATTGCTATTTCTGTGATGAACATACTGATTTGAGGTGTGATAGTACACTTTGCACATACCTACACTTTGGTATGTTACTTATACCGGTCCAGGAGCATAAAATCTGATATTCAATGATCATAAACATGTGTTCTTGTATATTTTCTTCTATGTGGTATGATTTGGACTGGATGCCTTAGACCATGCCGGTCGGATCGTATTGTTATTCCTGTGATCACGCCAGGCGGATTGTATTGTTATGCTTGTGACCACATCGGGCGGATTGTATTACCATGCCTGTGACCACACTGGGTGGATCCGTTATATTGAGCTTGTGATCACGCCAGGCGAATTATGATTTTGAGCATGTGACCACGCCGGGCTAGTATCACGTTGAATTGGCCGTGCTTGCGCGTGAATATGGATTCATCCCCCTAGGGTCACCCTCTCTTGTTTCTCTCTTGATGGTGTACACGTGAATTGTGAGAAACCGATGAATTTCTGGTTGATGTGAGCTCTGGGAGAGCTGGTTACTATTATATGGATCGAGTTGCACGCCGCAATAGGCCTTATTGGCTTATTGTTAGTTGGATCAGGTTGTGCGCAACAAAGATGTCCATGTACTATTCAATATTTGTCACGACCCGAATTTTCCACTGTCGGGATCGTGATGGCGCCTAACATTGTACCCGCTAGGCAAGCCAACGTTACAAAATATTTTACCTTTTTCCTTTATCTTTTAACAATTACAAGTTAACAAAAGCAAATCAGCGAAAATAAATGCGGAAGAACACAGTTTAAAAGACTATCTTTATACTAACAATGGGAAACGTAATAAATTCCACCCAGAACTGGTGTCACAACTCACGAACAGTCTACGAATACTACAAGTAAGGGTCTGAACGAAAAGTTTACATCTGTCCGAAAGTAGATAAACAAAAATGAAATAGGATAGAAGGGGACGCCAGGGCCTGCGGACGCCTGCAGAACTACCTTGAGTCTCCGAGAAGCAGTGATAGCAACCAACCTCAGAATCAGCCACTAGCTCCAAAATCTGCATAGAAAGTGCGGAATGCAGTATCAATACAACCGACCCCATGTACTGGTAAGTTCCGAGCTTAACCTCGACGAAGTAGTGACGAGGCAACGGCGGGGCATACAACATATACAACCTGCAATAGTTTATACTAAACAGAAAGGAAATACAGAATGTAATAAAGTAATAACTGGCATTAAATCAACTCGGAACCCAGATGTTCTACTAGTATTCAGCTATAACCAATCCTTAAGGGTGTTTCAACATCACATTAATGAATTTCAGGAGAAATGAATACTTAAAACAACAACGGATGTGGCACGCATCCCGAGCTCATCATATAAACAACAAATATTCACCCTTATTCCTCCTTATTGCGGCATGCAATCTGATCCCACCTGTCCACCCTTATTACTCCTCAACACATATCACCCTTATTCCTCCTGTTGTGGCGCGCAACCCGATCCCACCTGTCCACCCTTATTACTCCTTGTTGCGGCGTGCAACCCAATCCCGCCAGACAATCACAATTCACCCATATTCCTCCTGTTGCGGCGTGCAA